TGAACAGGCAGAGCTAAGGGGCCGTAGCGTACAAAGATTTCAGAGCCAGAGGTAAATGGCTGGAAGCCTGGATCTCAGCTGTGAGGACAGGGCTGCACCAGATGAAACCTGCTTTGCCTGAGCGACGACACCCAGTTGTCATGCAGAGCTGAGGTCTCACTTTCCTGACCCCCGTCTTGAGATCACATGAACACCTTGTGCAATTAGATATTGTCTTAGGGAGATGGAAGAGAAGAGGGAAAGGACTAATAATTGTTCTTAAAGAAACTAGCTTCCTAGAAAGAGCAATTGGCCTAGAAGAGACTAAGACATCTTTTACTGAGAAATGTGACCTCCATTGCCTTTCCTTTTTCTCCTCTTTTACTATGTTGTGGGGTGGGATTTCAAGAACAAAACTAAATCAGGTATAGATAATAAAGAAAAGCCATTCTCTCTGTATGTCTGAGAGGTTTTTTTGTTTGTTTGTTTTACCGATATAGATACTTTATGCTGCCAAGTAACCTTATGGAGAAGAACTTCTTTCATTCATTTATTCACTCAGTAATGTGACTATCAGATGTACGCTCGGTACTGGCTGCACCAACATCAATGAGGTGTCATTTCTGTGCTCACGGAGCTGGGCACTAGCCAGCTGGACAGACCAGTGAGCAGATGCTCATACCACCAACAGGTGCTAGGAGATATGGAAAAGATTCTCCCCAGGGGTGGGAGCATCCAGCAAGGCTTCCTAGGGATGGCAGCTTCGGAGCCAAGTCCTCAGGGATAATTAGAAGATAGCCAGGAGAAGGAGCCAGAGAAAAGGAGGGCTTTCCAGGTAAGGGAAGAGCGCATACACGGCCAGTTCTGGGATATGCAACTAACTTATTTCACTGATTTTAAGATTTGTTGCCCCCTATTTTTAACTTCTCCAAAATCAGGTTATACCCCCAAATCCACGGCATCTTTCAGTTTTTATTCTTGATGATAGATAAAGGCGCAGCTTAAAGTACTCTAATGTAAATGGAGTTTCTCATCATCATGGGCTCCTTCCAAAGCCTATGCTTAACTTTCTGCAATTTGATGTTTACTTTTAAGGACAGATCCCCCAAGCTGTCCTACAGCCATGTCTAGCCTGTTTTGGAAGATTGCTATTTCAGTGGGGCTAAAATTGGTGCTTGCAGACAATGAGGGAGAGGGGCTGAGGAAGGGGAACAAGGGTGAACGGTGAGAGCCTGGAGATTCAGAATCCAATCCCCATGGAGGACAGTACATCCATTTTTGGTAGAAGCCAGTGCCTCAACTCCTGCTGCTCTGATGTCCCATGCTCTGTGTCTTGTTAAGTCCTGTAGACTTCCAAGACAGAGATTCCTAGTTTTCTTTTAAACTGTTCCCTCTTTCTGTAAATAGCACTCTCCATTTCACCCAAGCACATGATTACTCTGAATAAGGACTGTGTTTTCCAGCTTCCCTGGTAGTTAAGTGTGGGTACAAGGCTGGGTTTTGTATATGTGGCATCTCCTTAAATGGAAGCAGCGTCTCTTTTTCCCTCTCTTTCCTCCTTCCCAGTAGCAGGGATATGAACACGATGGCTGGAACTGGAGCAGCCATTTTGGACCTTAGGAATGGGGCCCACACACGGTGGAACATCCTAGCAGGAGTCTGCGCACCTTACACTCGGACCACTGCGCTCCAGCCCTGCACTGCCTGCCTCTGGACCTTCGCTCAGGAGAGAAACAAACTTTCATCTTGATGAAGACACCATTACTGCTGGTTTTCAGTCACTCACAGATAAAACTATTTCTAAATACATACAATATCTACTTCACTGCAAATCCTCATCACTTTCCAAATCAGCGTTAGTAACATTTCTTATCTGGTCCTTTGAAATCATCTATTAATTGATATCCCTATATTTATTCATATCAGCCTCAGTGTCTTTCCAATGGGCTTTTTATACAATAGGGAAAGTGATGGGTGTAAAATGCAAATAGATTGTCAGGCTCCCTCTCCCCATTTCAACCATGTCAGTGACTTCTCACTGCTCTTAGTAGAGATTTAAGTAATTAAAATGGTGTGATTACTGCACGGACGGGGCCCTGCCTGCCCCCCGACCCCCCTTGTATTCACCTGGTGCCGTGCTCCGCCTCACTCTCCACACTTGTGCTGCACTGGCCTTTCAGGTTCTCAAGTGTTAGGGATTCTCCCCTCTCAGGGCCTTTGTCTCTGCTGCAGCTTAGATGTTCTTCCTCCCTCCTGTCCCGTTGCCAGGTGAACCAGGCCCCATCTCCATCACCTGTTCTTCAGGGCAGCTTTCCCTGCTCTACCTCTATCCCCCAACTCCCCGTCACAGGCCTGTGCTCCCACAGGTCCGGCCACACCTTCTCAACAGCAGAAGGTGTGGCCGGACCTTCATTCGGCCTTCGTCCTTTTTATTTTGTTCAAGATTCTTTGGTGAACAATTCCTTTGGATCATAAGCTCCACAGAACAGGAATGTGTCATCTTTTATTTTTTATTGTATCCCCAGTGCCCTCTACAGCATCTGGTGCATGTCTGGCAGTCAGGAAACACCATCTGAGTGAGCAAATGAGAGGTGAGCGCAGTCAAGCCGTGCAGAAGTGAGTCTGCCAGCGAGGACCTGGGGAGCTTTCCCCGCAGGAAACAGAACATGATGATCAAAGATTTGTGGCAATTGAGTAAAATATATGCTATGGAGATATATATATATACATATATATACCTTTTTTTTGCCAGCACTGTGCAGAAAGCACTGGGAAGCAGAGAAACGAGTCTCAGAGGCTGCCCCAGACACCAAGTAGGGAATGAGAAGGACTTGAGGTAGTTTGCGGTATTCCTGTTCTTTCTGAGAATCTTTGGCATAAGCAGGTTGGGTTTCAGTTTTCTTCGCTGCTGGTTTGGGCTTTCGCTTTCCTGGCCTGCTTAGTGAATTATCCTTATTCATTATTCCAATAGTTGCTGCTATTTTATTTCCTGTTCATTTTTGTTGATTTAAGTTTTTTTTTTTGAGACAGAGCCTCAAGCTGTCCCCCTGGGTAGAGTGTCATGGTATCACAGCTCACAGCAACCTCCAGCTCTTGGGTTAAGAGATTCTTTTGCCTCAGCCTCCCAAGTAGCTGGGACCATAGGTGCCCGCCACAACGCCCAACTATTTTTCGGTTGCAGCTGTCATTGTTGTTTTGGTGAGCCTGGGCTGGATTCGAACCAGCCACCTTAGGTATATGTGTCTGGTGCCTTAGCCACTTGAGCCACAGGTGCTGAGCCTGATTTAAATTTTTAATCTCTTAAATTTAGTAGAATTTGGTGGAAAGAATGAAATTAGGTCTATGTGTTTAATGTCACTCTAAGTTTTTCTAAATTTAGTAGAATTTGGTGGAAAGAATGAAATTAGGTCTATATGTTTAATGTCACTCTAAGTTTTTCTAAATTTAGTAGAATTTGGTGGAAAGAATGAAATTAGGTCTATGTGTTTAATGTCACTCTAACTTGGAACTTTCTACATTTTTGCTTCATTATGAAAATTCTTTATTGTTTTATTGCAATAAAATTGCCTTTCAGATCAGCCAACATTTTTGTTAAGCAATAATACCAAATAATGGCAAAAGTGTTGATGAAAGGGTAAAAGTATGAATTGCTACATTTCTGGAGAACAATGTTTCTCCAAAGTCCTAAAAAGGTATATATATATATATATTTTAAATCAAAGCTCCACATCTAATAATTTAGCCTCAGGAGATAATTTAGCTTTAAGGATGTTCACTGCTGTGTTGTTTATAGCCATGAAAAACTGTCCAACAATTGGGGGCTGATCAAATAAACTACATATTTTCACAAATCAGATATATAGTAATTAAAATTATATTGTAAACAAGCTTCTCAAATAACACTATTCCAGAGAATATGCAGTCATTTGCCAAACAGTATGAGACCACAGCACAAAATTACTCATCTTCCTCAGGCATAAAGCTCACTGGCGACTTACTTGGGAGTGCGGCAGAGGCTACGAGCTACATCTCCCAACGTCCATTCTTCCTTTTTTCCTCAGCAACAAAACCTTGATTTGTAGAGGGGGCTATTGCTGCTGAGAATATTAAGTCTACATACCCCAGTCTCCGCTGTAGCTGGGTGTGGCTTCAGAATGAAACCAAACCTTTGAGATACCAGTGAAGTGCTGTGAAAGGCTTCCAGGGAGGCCACCCTGATGCAGCCAGCTCAGCGGGGATGAAGACACGGAGCGGGCATTTACCTACTTTCTGTACTTTTTGGAAAGCTACACAGTTAGAAAAACAATTTTGGAATTATTATTAAAGTGCCAATGAATAGGAAAAAGTTCAAATGTTTGGCGAATACTCCTTGGAGAAATGTTGGAAGAGGAGAAAAAGAGGAACATATGAGAGGAGGCGGGTGGTTTTACCTGTAAGAGAATCTTGGATAAGCCGTGCGGATTTTCCTGTGTGATTCAAGTGCACTCTGCAAGGCCGACAAGGCTTGTATGCATCGCTTGTGGCAGAGACTCGTTTTTATGTTTTTACTGTGCCTATTTGTAAGCCTAGATAAAACAAGAACAGGTGTGGGGTTATTCAATTTTGTTGAAGAATCCGAGATGCCTGCCCTCCTCCTCCCAAATTTGCTTAGGATCTGTAATAACATCCAGGGTTTCAGAATTTAGAAACGGTGCGCGTGGATTTGGACTACCCCTCTCTCTCAGGCATCAGAAAAGCTGCATTTGCTTCAATCTTGGGCATAAATGGCCCCAATATTTACTCAGAATCCGCCGGTAGAAGAGCGACAGCCGCAGGGCTAGGCAGGCAGGGAAGACACTCGCCCGGTACCAGTCCCCGGATCCGGGGGAGGGACGAGCCTGGGCCCCGCCCCCAGATTAGCCAACCGCGCGGGACGGGAGCGGGAGGGGCGTGGCCGGCCTTGCAGGCGGCGTCGTGATTGGCACGCTGGCTGCGGCCACCCGCAAGGCCGTCCCTGCTGTAGCTCTCAAGAACCCCAGGCGAGCGAGGACGTACAAAGTTTGTCCGCTCCGGGGCACCGTAGTGGCCTCTACCCTGGCCGGCTGGCTGCGTTCGGCTGGGCCGGGCCAGGCGGCTGGAGCCGGGCTCAGCCCGCAGGGAGACCCTGATGGCCGCGGTGTTTCTGGTGACGCTTTATGAGTACTCGCCGCTTTTCTACATTGCGGTGGTCTTTACCTGCTTCGTCGTGACCACAGGCCTGGTCCTGGGATGGTAAGTCTCCCAGGGCAAGGGCCAAGGGACAAAGGAGTGGACAGCCGGGAGTGCGGTCCGCGGCCAGCCGCAGGGGGCACTGGAGCTGGGGGTCCGTGGGGCTGGGACCCCTGAGGCCGTCGGAGATTCGGTGTCACCCCGGGTGCGAGGGCTCCCCCCGCACCTGCGTCGCTACCCTGCATCTCCGTGCGGTCCGGTCGCTGCGGGCATCGCATGCGGGTGCTTTGCCAGCTTTGTGTCAAGGTGATGAAGCAGCCAGGAAGGCCCTGGTCGTGGTGCTTGTCCTGCGGGCTTCCGCCTACTGGGTGCCCCGGGTGAATGGGTCACCTGCGGTACAGCGCACAGTTGAGCGGTGAACAAGCTTGAGTGTTGTATTTCTGACTTGGCCTGAGCCCTTGGTCTCTGATCTTTCAGCGTAACTTTTAACTGAAGTCTCTTACCGTTTGAGGAGTTAATGGTTTCTGTACACATTCCACACCTTTTGAAGTAATAGTCGACAGAATTATAAAATCATAATTTTATATTTTTAAGACACTTAAGAAATAAGTTATTAAGGAAGGGGTATAGGCAGTTTACCTATTGGAGACAAAGAGGATGGACTGTTAGATAACCCTGAGTATTCTAGCCTAGAGGCTCTACAGTTTCTCTCCTGAGACGGTGCCATGGTATCATGTTCAGACAAGCCTTATAAACACAGCTAGTTGAAACCTTGTTACTGGGCACGACAGTTTTTCTAGGTTGCAGGGCCCATGGCCCCTTTGAGAAGATTGTGTTTGCAAATGGATCCAACAGTAGTTCTAAGTGGATAGCAGTCAGGAACTGAAGAGGTCAGGGAGGACTCCATTGAGGAGAGAGAGGAGAGCTGGGTTTTGGAGAATGCCTATTTTGAAAAATAAATGAAGTCAACTGTGTACAATAGGGAAGAAAAAGTATTTCAGAGAACATAGCATGAGCCTAGGGCAGAGGACAGCATGTTAGTGAATGAAGCAGGCTGTGTAAAACAAGTTGAAAATACTCTCTGATGATGTGATTACTTTGAAGAAAGGACTCAGGCCCTTGTCAGTGTGTGAAAATATATGCCATGTTAGGAACTAACCAGAGTTCTAACGTTTCTATACTGTCCTCCCCCCCTGCCAGCAATGGAGCATAAAATTCCATGTATTGGCGTGGGGGAAGATGAAGACCAGTCTTACACAATCTGTTATTCTTGAACTGTCGGATTTTATTGCTATTACTCATTTCAAGAAAGTTTGTAACTGAAGTTAGGAAAGGTAAGTGAGAAGAGCAGTCATAATGCAGGATTTTGTTTTTTTTTGGAGACAGAATCTTACTATGTTGCCCTTGGTAGAGTGTTGTGGCATCACAGCTCATATAACCTCAAACTCTTGGGCTTAAGCAATTCTCTTGCCTCAGCCTCCCAAGTAGCTGGGACTATAGGCGCCCACCACAATGCCTGGCTATTTTTTTGTTGCAGTTGTTTAGCTGTCCTGGGCCGGGTTCGAACCTGTCACCCTTAGTGTATGTGGCTGGTTCCGTAACTACTGTGCTATGGGCACCGAGCCACAATGCAGGATTTTTAAGTGACTAGTGTTAGTGTTATTCTCTTAAACATAGTTCTTGTCTACCAAGGAAAATAGTTGATAATTGCATTATATGCTTAAATTTTTTTTTTTGAAACACAGCCTCAAGCTATCCCCCTGGGTAGAGTGCGGGGGCACCAAAGCTCACAGCACCCTCCAACTCCTGGGCTCAAGTGAGTCTTCTGTCTCCGCCTCCCAAGTAGCTGGGACCACAGGCGCCTGCCACAAGGCCGGGCCATTTTTTGGTTGCAGCGGTCATTGTTGTTTGGCGGGCCCGGGCTGGATTCAAACCCGCCACCTTAGGTGTATGTAGCCACTTGAGCCACAGGCGCTGAGCCTAAATTTTTGTTTTAAATATCTAACTACGTAGGTAGCTTAGATACCTGTATCTAAGATGCAGATGCCTAACATTCTGATAGGGAATGAGTGCAATCAAAATTGATAATGTTGACATCTGTGGGTGAAGGGTAGTTAGGAGCCTCATGTTTATAGTGGTTAAGAGACAGACTTTGGAGTCCGGCAGACCTAGGTTTAAATCTGGGCTCTGCTAGGTGTAACACTGGGTTTACAAATTTAATAACTGCTTAATCACTCCATGTAGGTATGGCTTTCACAAGGGTAGAAGCCCAGAAGTCCTACTCCATTGTAGGAGTTTTGGAAGTCTGGGCTAAGCACTGCTGAGGCCATAAGACCTATCACTTGCATCCTGATTTAGGCTTAAGTAGTCACCTTGAGCCTAGCACAACCATTCTCTCCATCTGAGTTAGCTTTGCCCCTGTAGATAAACTTTTTACTTGTGTTTATTTGCAAACTTAAGCCAAGATCACAGATTTATTTACTAGAAATGGTGGGAACTTGGATGCTATCTGGATCTCATGAAAACATCTTTCTAATAGTACAGTCAAAAGGTAAACTAGTCAATTCACCGTGCTTTTCACCCTTGTCATTTTCTTTACCCTCCTCAAATACAGTCCCTAATGGTCAGCACTACTCTGAGTCTTTTCCCATTGCTTCTTTGTGCTGCTTTCTGCGTCGACCTGCAGTGTGTGGGGTAGAGACAGAACAGGAGCATCTGAGGATTGAAATCCCCATGGCAGTAGCAGCTGTCATGCATCTAGAAGTGTGCTTGCTGTCTCTCTGTGACTGTGGGGTACTACTGCAGCTCCTGCCAGGCACTGTACAGAAAAGACCCCAGCAGGCCATTTATATCCTTCAGTAGTTTCAAGTAATCAGGGATCCTGACTCAGTCGCTACTCCCTGCCTCCTCTTGACCGTAGGCTATTAAGCTCCTGGCCTTGACTTCATACCACCCGTTGTGAATCTGGGGCAGCACTCTAAACCACAGTTCTCCTCTGCCAACAAGGCAGGGAGATGGGAAGGCTGAGAGAGGCTGGGAGACTTGCTGTTTCTGACGATTCCTTTTCTTGTCTGTTGTGCCACACGGACAGCACCTTGCAGTTCATGCTTTTCGGCTCTGTTAGAACCAGCCTGGTGCACCCCTCTAGAGATACCAGTCTCCTCTCCTGGGATCTGAGTCCCAGCTCCACAGAGTCCCTCTTCCAAATTTGTAAATGGTAGTAATTCTTGTTCCCGTTCCTCTGTGCCTTTGTCCTCGAGTGGTCGGTGCCTCCCGCTGTGACACCTTCTTCAATACTCAGCATCTTTTTGCCTGTTCAGTTCTTTCACGTCTGGTTAATGTTTTTCTTTATTACTTTGAAATTCTCTCTGTTAAAGTAGCTGGTATGGTTTCAGTCTCTTCTCTGGACTTAGTGATAAAGAATTGTTACTAAGAATGGGATCCTAAGGGAAAACCCCTGGAAGATAGGATTTGGGGACTGGTTTGGTCATTTCCTCAGTTCCTTGCTGATGGGAAGTAAGAGTCTAGTAGTCCCTGGCATGTAGTAGCGTCACTGTTAATCAGATTACTAACTTTGGATGATTGTGATAAAATGGTTCTGAAGCAGGTGCCTTGGGAGACCACCTGGCTGAAAAGCACTGGACTTACTAGCAGCAGCGATGAATACAGCACGGGACTAAGGCAGGGGTGAGATGGTTGCTTCTCAGTTCACCCGAGCACTAGCAGTAAGAAAATGACAAACTCAGGTCTTCAAACTCTGGGTCAGTTGGGTGTTAGAGAATCAGAATGCTTCTGAAGCACTTTATTTGTGTTGCCACAGAGCCAGCCTTGCTGAAAATTGGATGCAGTTTTAATTGTGCTGGTAACAGAATTACAAAGTCTTGTCACTGTCTCATTTTGAATATTGATTAGAAAGAAGTGGAACCCCGAGACTTGAACTGGGGGTAGACATGGACAAAGCTGAAATCTTTTTTTTTTTTTTTTTTTTTTTTGCAGTTTTTGGGTTGGTTTGAACCTGCCACCTCTGGCATATGGGGCTGCCCCCCTATTCCTTTGAGCTACAGGCGCTGCCTCCAAAGCTGAGAATCTTGAAAGCCTAGTTGCTCTGAGCCTGGCTTGTTGATGGAAGCCACGTCCTTCCTTTCACATGTGAGAAAACTAGTCACCCCTGCCTGAAGATCCTATAATAACCTCATCTGGGGCAGCTGCCTTCCAGAGGGATACCCACACTTCCGAGGTACTTCTGGTACCTTTTTGCCAAGACGCCCAGATCTCAGCCAGCTCCACAGTGAAGGGACAAAATCAGACCCGATGGAAATAGCCTATCTCTAAAAGAATTGCCAAGTTTTGCCGCCCGTATCTGTGGAATCCTAGGGAATTTCTGTCAGAATGGATTTTACGTCTATTAAGCCAAAAGATAGAATGTAACACCAGATCAGACCAAATTCATTGATCTGGGTGTATCGCAGGAAATTCTGGCTCTGTAGTGTTAACTCAGGGTTGGTTGGTTGACTGAAACCTCACTCAGTGGTGACCAGGTTTCCTGCTTTTCAGTTTCCTTATAGCTACTGCTTTCTCAGCATCCCACACATTTTGATACATGTCTTCACTTTTATTCAGTTCATAATTTTTTTAAATTTATTTTTTGATTTTTTCCTGATCTCTGCATTATTTAGAAGTTACTTAGTTTACAAATACTTGGGAATTTTTAAGATGTCTCTGTTAATTGGTTTATAATTTGTTTCTAAGGTGGTCAGAGGATATACTTTTTAATGATTTGATTTCTTTTTTTTTTT